TCTTCTCAGGGGAGGGGCAGGCATCCACTTAGTATTTGGGGCTGGGACCAGCCCCTCAGGAGCCTTTTACAAATGCCTCCTCCACACTGCCTTAGAATCACAGCCATAGTGAGCAAATATTAGAGATACCCCCAAAATGGACTCTCCGTTCCCCCCTTCAAAGCTATGCATTAATTTTTTTTTTTTTTTAACAAAACAACCTTCAAAGTCATCTCCATTACACTTAATATATTTGTCAAATCTGTGATTCCATTCTTGGAGATATTTTTCAAACATCTGTTTGGATGACTGAAAACACCTCCCTCATTTTTTTCTTCACCGCTTCATCAAATCACTGTCCTTTCATGTCCCTCTTCATTCGTGGAAACAAAAAGAACTCACACAGAGTGAGGTCAGGTGAGTTAGGGGTGTGGGGAAAGAGAGCCATGCTGTTTTTTGCCAAAGACTGGCTCACTGAGATGGCTGCATGAACAGATGCATTGTTGCGGTGGCAAAACCAGTCCCGTCTGCCACAAATCTGCCCTTGTTAGTTGCACAGTTACACTATCTTTTCACAACCTCTAAATAGAAAGTTCAATTATGTCAGACCTGGAATGAACTCCAAATGCACTCATTACAAGCCGACCATTTTCTTCCTATGAAAAGTTCATGGGCGTCCAGAATGAGGTTTGTCATCAATCAACATTTCACCTTTTTTGAAACAAGAAAACCATTTGTACACTTGAGTTTTTCCCGTAGCACTGTCCTTATAGGCTGTGTTCAACATCAGAACAGTTTCCGTAGCATTTTTTTCTCAGCAAGAAACAAAATTTTACAGCCGCACACTACTCTCTTAAATTGGCCATCACAAAAAATGAGGTTCAAGCGAAACTGCTTTTCTGAAAAAATTCACTGTGACCAGAGAAAACCTGCCCAAGCGACCCACTGGGTGTACTAACATAGAGCAAGTTGCTCAATGCTCGTCTGGCAGGTAAAGTACATACCACAAAAACTCCACTCTGCCCAGGGCAATTCTGGTTTTGGGGGGTGTGCCCCCTCATATGCAGGACCCATCTGTCATATTGGGCCAAAGGAAAAAAAACTTAAGCTGAAATAGTAGTACATGAAAAAAGTAGCCAAGAGGCTTTTCTTGAAATAAAGTATATAGATTAATAACAAACCGGACTTATAAAACTGTGAAACCTCCTAGAAAATTGACAATTATCTTAAACAGGACATCATAAAGGAAAGAACCATAGAAACAGGTATCACAGGGAAGTAAAGTAAGAGCTCACCTGTACATTCTTGTAATCTACACGTTTTTCACACAAGAGGCATTTTTTAAGAGGTTCCTTGTAAGGATTTTCCATTGTAATGGGCTAGGAGAAAGAGAAACATCTGATAATGTACAATGATGCATCGATTTTGAATATATCAAGTATTTCCAAAGTACTTAGCATGTCAAAGATGTCAGTGAACTTATATGCATGGAATCACTTTACTTCAGTTTTGTCTAAGGAGGAATTAACTCATAGGAGTCTAGGATAAAATATAATCTTCAGAGGAAAAAAAGAGGAGCCGTGGAAGTATTTCAGATTTGTATTCCGCTTTTGTGTCTTCACTACTGCCTCCAATGCCTCTCTGTCAGTATGCCCGCCTCTAGTACAGAGGCTTTACATTTGGACAGCATTTTGAAATCTATGATTCCTGTGGTCACAACTTTCAACAGTCTCGATGGAATTTATGAACTCAAAAGAGTAACTTTCTAAGAAGCGCATAGCCAGTGGGTCAATTCCAACTCATATGGACCCTATAGGACAGAGTCGCACTGTTCCGTAGGATTTCCAAGACTGTAAATCTCCACGGAAGTAGTCTCATCTTTCTCCCACAGCGGCGGTGGTTCTAACTACTGACCCTGCAGTTAGCAGCCTAAAATGTGGCCCAAGCCATTACCATGGCTCCTTTCCCTCCTTAGAACAGTGGTATAAACTAAATCGAGAGGATGCTTAGAGGGACTGGAAAAGTTCTCTGGCTCTTTTCCACTCCTGACACTTTCTAAGAGTTCTTGGATGTGCAAACACTTAAATGCACACCTACCATCCAAAAGGCGGATGGTTAGAAAACGTTCAAAGGTTTCCAGTGGTACTTTGGAGGAAAGGCCTGAAAATCTGCTTCCCAAAGGTCACAGCCTTGAAAACTCTATGGAGTTCTATTTGGAACATATGAGTCAAAGCTGACCTAGCAACAACTAACAAAACATTTCCTTAATTCAATTTACACTCAGCTCACACTACTTTGCTTCTTACAGCCTGACTATTGTTGTTGGGTGCTTTGGAGTAGATCTGTGGCTCCATGTGGTCGAGAACTGTCTGGTGGGAATTTTCTAGGCTGTAATCTTTATGGGGGATGATTACCAGGTCAGCCTCCCTTAGAGCCACTAGGTTGATTAAAAGCACCAATCCTCCAGTTAGTTGATGATTATGTAACTATTGCCACCAAGATTCTTCCCAGCCTGCTTGTTGTTACCGTTTCCCTGAAAATAAGACAGTGTCATATTAATTTTTGCTCCCAAAGATGCGCTAGGTCTTATTTTCAGGGGATGTCTTATTTTTCCATGAAGAATACGGTACACATTTATTGTTGAACAAAAAAGGAAATTTATTACCTGTATACAGTACAGTAGTTGTCATCACAAACCAGCATAACCAGACAAACTGAATCCTACAGTATCAAGAATTTCTTGTTACTCCTGCCACACACGCATGCAGGCACACGACTCACTGTCAAATTGTGAGTCAGTCAGACTCCATCAGGACAGAACAAGCAGCAGGCGGCAGCTTGTCCTGGCTGCACGTGGGCTCCCTGATTAAGAGACCTTGCACTTCCTGTCTGCTCCAGCTGCGTTGCGGCCAATGGTGGCACCCGCTGCTACAGTCCAGAGTCCAGAGTTATGTGGTAGCTCCGGGGGCCTTATTATCGGGGAGGCCTTATTTTCGGGGAGGTCTTATTTTGGGGGGTGCCTTATATTCAGTGAGAGGCAAAACTAAGTAGGTCTTATTTTGGGGGGATGTCTTACTTTCAGGGAAACACGATACTAGTTGCCACTGAATTGGTTCCAATACATAGCAACCCTATGTACAACAGAATGAAACACTACAGTCTTGTGCCATCCTTCTACTTGTTATGTTTGAACCCACTGTTGCAGCCACTACGTCAAACCACTTCCTTGAGGGTCTTTTTTGATGATCTCTACTTTTCCAGGGAGCCAATCCAGTTAACATGCACAAAGTATGATAGCCAAAGTCTCACCATAGTTACTTCTAAGTAACTGCGTGTCAAACAAATTACATTTCCAAGTAGTAAGAAAATTTAACCTGTCCAAGACCAATGATAATACTTTAAGTCACATGTGCACAGTGATAAAAACTGCAGTTCACAGCCTGATTCCTTCTTTATTATGAGAGCTCTCCTAAAAGTGGTGAACAAGATGAGGATAGGAAAAATATTAAGAATCCAAAACTAAGAAAGGAAGTAACCTATATCTGAGCTTTGTACTCACCAATTATTTATAATTATTCCATCCACCCAAATGACATTTCTTAAAATTCATAAATTTATGATATAAAAGGAAAATGTAGTATTATAGAAGCCATCCACCTCCTTGTTAGGAATCTAGCAATTCTCTTACTGCAAAACCCATTTCAATAAGTAATTTTCAATAAATTATAATTTTCAAACTATTATTTTAGTCATCTTCTACAGTTTAACTTTTACTTTATAAAGCAAAGATATTTGGTCCTATTTGCAAATGCCTTAAGAATGGAAAGAATAAAATTTCTTACCAGGTCCTCATTGCTGGTCACCTGTTTATATTGCGAACAAGCTCTTCTGTAGACTACTACAATTAAACAGAAAGCGACAAACCAATTATTTTTGTTAGTTAAGTAGCAAAAGAAAGCTGTTTGGTTTTGTGGAGGCAAGATAAATCAAAGGACACAATACAGAAAAAAAAGCACTTTGCTTATTATAGTCACAATGACTGGGTTAATAGCCTTTGGTTTTGATTGGGGACAAAGCGGGGCTTTAAATGGGTGTTTTCCAGTCTTTGGGAGAAAAGGTACATTATTTTCCCACCATATCTCCTGCTGTTCTCCCTGGCTACAAGGAGACTTTAATGCAAATATCCACAGTAAAAGTAACAAGAAGGCACTGTCATACCAAAGGCGGAATTACTAACAGACTCCACAGAAAGGAGCCGTTAGGCTTGGGCTGCTAACTGAAGGCCTGCGGTTCAAACCCACCAGGTGTTCTGCTGGTGAAAAACAAGGCTACCTACTCCTGTAAGAATGTACAGTCTTGGAAACTCCTAAGGCGCCGTTCTACCCCGTCTTAAGAGGGTCGCTATGAGTCAGGATTGACTGGCTGGCAGTGAGCTGGGTTTGCAGTTTGGGAAACAATGGAGCATCAAGCAAGGAGAGCCCTTTACCCGCGTGACTCCTGGAATCTGTGAAGCTGGCTGCAGCCGTGGTGAAATGCGTCAACTTTTTTCTCCCAAGAGCACTGCAAACAGCAACCACCGCTGCCATGATGCCAGCTCCTCCTCTTCCTTCCCCCTTTCCCAATCATCTCTGCCGGTCCTTCCGGTGCTTCCCCCGCCGGCTCGAGCGCCGCACTAAAGGTTCCGCGGGGGAACGCCGGCGCTGCGGGCAGAGTAGGCGGGGCTTTAGTGCGTCGGCCCACCCGCCGGTAGCCCGATGACACTTGTGATTGGACAGGCTCGCGCGAGTGCGCGCGCATCTCCAGGCTCTGCTACAGGCCCGAGAGCCTGGGTACCCGATTGGGGTTTCCGAGGGTCATTTCTGAAAGTAGAGGGGCGGGAACGCAGTTTTCTCGCGTCCGCCCTAACCCCTTCCCGCCCCTCCACCGAGGCGGCGTTGCTGCCCCGGGTGACAACATTTTGGCCCGGCCGTAGGGCCCTGTCATGGATGAAGGTGGTTCCCGCCTCCGCCGGCGGGTCTCTGTCCGCAAACGGAACCGCCGCAGCCTAGGGCCCATTTGTGCCGCCGCCGAGCTCGTGCCGGAGAATGTGGATGAGGAGCAGATGGTGGCGGGGAGCCGGCGGCGGAGAACCGTGGGCGAGCCACCCGTCGAGGTACTGCCCCATCGCCTCACATTCGGTGCACCCCTCGGCCCGTGTCCCTTCTTGGGGCGTGATGAGAAGCCCAGGCCTTCTCTCCTGCGTGCTCACCCAAAGGGTGCCGGGCACGGCGCCTGCGGAAACTCCAGAATGTTGGCACTTTCCCTCGTAGTGGCAAACAATCGGCCGGTTTTTGTTTATCTCTCCTTGGTCTCCCTTCTCTGCCTACTTAAGACATGGCGATCCCGAGACATAAAAGTTGTACCTGCAGCATAAATGGAACTCAAACCTAGACTCCGAACTTACTGCACCTACTGTACTAATAAAACCTGTCCTTTTTGAAAACACGCCATGTGCTGGGTACCCTACGGTATTTACGATATGCAACTTTGACAAGCGGCAGCAGGACCTGAGAAGTTAACGGCTATGATGTTGCTCCCTCAGAGTTTACATGTATCCCTTCCGTCTAGCGGACCGACCACCCACCACGCGTCTGCTGACTCGTCCTAGGAGGTCCCGGCGGATGGTCCGGTGGCCTTTGAAGGCTGGGTTTGGTAATAGGAGTCCGGCAGGGTGGTGTCAGAAACTGTTAGTGAGCTGACACCCCAGTAGATGTCCACCAACTTTGCTACTGTTTTAAGGATTTAGCACGGACATTAAGTCAGACAAGACTTAGAATTGCAGCATTCCCCTGTCCTAGGAATGCAGTGTAGGCAATTCACTCCACCCCGCTGGACATATTTCTGCAAAATGGAAGTGATAGTTTCCGTTTCGAAGAGTCCTTAGAGTTAAGAAATGTTGCAGAGCGTGTGAATTAGCATGTGAATACATTGTACCTTTGCATAGCTAGACAGCTAGACTGTTTTCTTTGATTATGCGGCTGCTGCCGGTTTTTTTAACTTCTCATAACAGTTTAAAGTGTTTTGTTTTTCTTAATCATTTCATGTGAAATTGTCAATTTTTTTGTTTCTAATTAACCCTTCCGACTCCTACTTCCAGGTTTTTTTGTTTTCCTTTCATCATGCACCAGGCTGCTTACCTCAAGGCCAGCTGTTCAAATACTGTCGTGGCTCCATTCCCCTCTTAAAGATTTATAGTTTTATAAACCCTAAGGATCAGTTCTACTTTGCCCTGTAGGATCACTATGAGTTGGAATTGACTTATTAGAAATGGTTGTTTTATATCTATCTATCTATCTGGTATTTAATAATATGCTTGCTGCTGTTTTCTGGATCTTTATAGAAGTTTCATGTGTATTTGTGAATTGAATCTTATACAACTTAGATATTATTACAATGTTCTGACTAACCGGGGACCTTGATGAATGTGTTGTTTATGCCTATTGATGACAAAGACAGGATTGAAGTTGAACCTGGTCAAACTATATTTGACAAATGACTATTTCAAAACAAGTTTCAGACTAAGACTAAACTATTTAGACGTATACTTGAAGTTCGTTCATGTTTGACAAAAAACCCACTGCCATTGAGTCAATTCCAACTCACGGCAACCCTACAAGGCTGGAAGGACTGCCCCTGAGGGTTTCCAAGACCATAGCTCTATGGGACTGGGAAGCCTCATCTTTCTCATAGTCAACCTCTATGACCTTTTTACAAGAGTATGAAATACTTGCATTAGAAAAGTAACTTTTCTACATCGTGAGAGTTTTCATCATGGGGTGTGTACCTTTTTAAAAAGACTTTACTTCCCCGCAACTACCAGGACCCCAATTCTGCCTTGCAGA